TGGAACCATCAGAGAGTTGTAGCCTTTGAGTTATCAGCATAGCTCCCTATGGACCATCTACCAGAGCTCCCTGTCAAGATTACGGCCTAGAAAAACTTATGGGACAATTCTACTCTGTCAAATGGAGTCACTAGGAGTTAAAATCAACTCCATGACACCTAACAATGACTCAAAAAACCCCTACATATCTTAAAGAAGAATTGACAAAAATCATGTATTTTAAAAACCATACTGGTGGCCCAGTGGCAAGAAGCTACACTGCAAATCCACAGGTACGCGGTTCAAATACACTAGATGCTCCATGGAAGAGGGATGGGCAATTTCCTCCTTTGTGATTAACTGCCTCTGAAAACCCACCAAAGGGTCAGCTATGGGTCGGTTCCGACTAAACGGTACACAACAACAAGAATAACAATTTAGAAATGCATTATAAAATGTGACTTACACAAACATAAAATTTAAACATATCATTCTACTAGAAATGACCATTAAAATATATTCCAATAATTCTTGAAAAATAAGCAAGTGGAAAATTATTTGGAAAATACTGAAAAATGAAATAAATTTATTTGTTTATTTTTAAAGAGCAAAATTAAAAACAGTGATATGGTATCATTACTGAGTAATGGAAATATTTCTGAGCAGATTTTTCCAGCAGCTGGGAGTCGAGCTCCGGCTCTGTGACGCTAAGTGGGGAAATAGTGATTAGAAGTGAAAATGTAAAAAATTTTCCACTAGTGTCTTCACCCTTAAGTATCCCTCTCCTTTTTGGTAACTTTGAAGGAGAGTGTTTGAATTAACTTTTGGTTTCTTTGTTAGAGCTGCAAGCTTTTGTTTGCCAGCAGCTAGGACTTATATTTCAGTTTGTTGTTGTGTTTCAGTAAAGTTTCCATTTGTCTATGTCCTCAGGTACCCAGGGCTAAGAGTTCTGGAGGCTCAATCTAGATGCTTGCTGGACAGGTTCTAAAGTCCCCCCGTAAACTTCTTGATCTGTTTTTGTATTCCATCATTTTAGACTTTTACAACCATAATAGAATGCTTTGGAAAGTACTCTTCCTTTTTCTTTTGTGTGACATATATATTTATAACAGCAGAGGAAATATGTATGATGCCTTGGTAAATTTTAGCTATCAAATATTCTGGGAATGTCATTTTAGTAAGTTTGTGTACTTGCATTTTTTTTTCCATTCTTTTATCCTGGCTTCTATGTTTAACTGGCTCCAATATTGTAAATAATTATTAAAGCTTTGCACTATGGTTTTTTAAAAAAGAAAATCTTTGTTATTGTGTGCCTCTGAGTGAATTCCAGTTTAAGATGACCTTACAGGGCAGAGTGGAGCAGCTCGTAGGGCTTCTAGGCTGTAATTTATCTTCCTGGGATAGCCAAGTATTTTCTCCTGCACAATTGTTGGTAGGTTCAAACTGCTGATCTTTTGGTTAGCAGCTAAGTGCTTAACTAGGGCTCCTTTTGCATAGATAAAAACCCCAAACTGGAAAAAAACCCCCCCACACACCAAAAAAACCCCCAACCAAAAAACAAACCACCCCAAACTAAACGTGTTGCTAGTAAGTTGATTCCAAGTCATACTGATTCTAGAGGATGGAATAGAACTGTCTTAGAGAGTTTCCAAAGTTTTACAGACGCCAACCACCACAGCTTTCTCCAGAAGGGTGGCTGGAGGGTTTGAACTACCAACCTTTTTGTCAGCAGCTGATTGCTTAATGAAAGCATTGCTAAAACTCCTTTTTCAGTACTTTGTTGTTAGGTTCTGTCAAGTCGAGCATGACTCATAGTGACCCTATGAACAATAGATATAAATGCTGCCCTATCCTGTGCCATCCTCATCATCTCTGACCTACTTGAGCCCTTTGCTGAAGTCATTCTGTCAATCCACCCAGTTGAGGGTCTTCCTCTTTTTCATCCACTTTCCACCTTTCCAAAGAATAGCATCTATTAGCATAAGTCCAAAGCATGTGAGACAAAGCCTTGTCATCTTTGATTCCAAGAAGAAATCTGAGGGGAGCTCTCATGGCCTAGTGTCAAGAAGCTGCTCTGCAATACCAGAGGTACAAGATTCAAATCCACCAGATGCTCTGCTGGAGAAGGAGGGACAATCTCCTCCTGTACCAGTCAGATCTGATTTGATGGTACACACACACAATAATAATAAAACAAAAGTGTGGGGTTTTTTTTAAAAAAAGAAAGCAATCTGGTTGCATCTTCTCCAAAACATATCTGTTTGTTCTTTTATGTGTGTTCTTCCCCAACACATATCCGTTTTATTAGTCCATAGGATATTAAACACTGTTCTTCAGCACCACAGCTCAAAGGCATTAATTCCTCCATCATCCTTACTCACTGCCAGCTTTCAGATGCATAGCAAATGATCGAAAGGACCATGGCCTGCACTAGGAGCACATTACTCTTCAAACTGACATTCTTGCTCTTCAGTAATTTGGAGAGATCCTAGACTGCGGGTTTTCTCAATGCAATACATTTCCTGATCTCCCAACTGCAGGTACCAAGGGTGTTGACTGTGGTTCTAAGCACAATGAAATGATAAGGAGTAATTTTTCAGTAGAAGCTTTGCCTTGTGGATTGCTGTGTTGGTTTTTTGTTTTTTGGGGGTTTTTTTCCTTCCAAGAATAAAGAGGCATAAAAAAATGTGACAGGACTGGATAGTGGATAAGAGCAGAGTCTTGCCCTGATTCAGATCCCAGTTTTGCACTTACCTGCTGTGTGATCATGGACAAATGACTTAAGCCCCTGTGTCTCAATTTTCTTATTATGAGAGTAATAAATAACAATAATACCTACCTCACACTTGACAGCACACACACCACCACCACCACCACCACCACCGGACTGTGTCTTGGGGATTGCAGCACAGCTCTTTACCACTCAGCTACCAGGAGTTGGCAGTGCAACTCCTCATAAGCTCCCTGGGAACTTATGACAATGTCTCAATATTCTGGAGGCCAGATACTCAAATTAGCATTTGGTAGGGCATGTTTCCTCCAAGTTTCCAGCTTCTGGTCATCATAGGCCTTAAAGCTGTTGCATAACTCTATGCAAGCTTCCTTGTCACAGAGCCATCCTTCCTCTGTCTCACTCTGAATCTCTTCTCTTTTAGAAGGTCTGGGTTAGGACCCGTCCTACTCCAGTATGACCTCATGCTGACTGATAACATCTTCGAAAGTCTCATTTCCAAAAAAGGTTGCATTCACAGGTATTAGGGGTGAGGACATCAACATCTTTTTCTTTTTCTTTTTACATCAACATCTTTTTGAAGAACGCAATTTAGCCCATAAGCCATCACTGATCAAAGAAATAAAAATTTAACACAGTGGACACAACTCGGAAATTGTTTCAACTTTGTATTCTTATAAAACATCAAAATAATGATATTGTGCCAACAAAAATATGTGCATTTTAGTTCTTTAAAAGAGTAAGGTAAACAGAAATACTGAAAACTGGCAGAGTATTTGTGAATGCCTGGTGTGGCTGGGAGGGGAGTTGTGGAGGGGGCAGCCTGAAAGGGGGAGAGGGGTGAGTGGGAAGAGGTCATTGACTCACTAATGCTGGACAGAGATCTAGGAACAGCCCAGGGTACTCTGCTACAGAGTTGTTCACCGATTCAGGAAGGATATATTGCAGTTACTTATGAAGAAGTCAGAATCGCTTCATAGCTGACCCTCCAGCAGGTTTGCAGAGGCTACACATCACATGGAGGGAGATTTCTCATCTTTCTCCAGCTGGTGACCTTTTACCTTTGAGTTGACAGCACAACTCCTTGCCTTATAAAAATATTCAGAAATGCACTGTTGTTGAGTTAGTTCCTACACATGGTGACTCTCCTTCAGCTTTCAGAAGCTATTAATCTTAATGTAAGGACACTGCTGCTTTTTCTCCTGAGAAGCTGCTGGTGGATTTGAACCAGCAGAGATGTGTAGCCTTTGGGTCAGCAGCACAGTTCTCTATGGACCACACTACTGGGGCATGCTGCTCATTGCCATCAAACTGGAACTACAGACCCTCCATCAGATTTTCAGCTACTGTAAATCACACAAGAGGAAACTACTCATCTTTTCCCCACAGAGCAACCGCCAGATTCAAACTGTTCACCTTTGAGTTGGAGCTCAACTCCCTCCTGACTAGACCATCAGAGCTTCAGCTGCAACATAAATTCTTTAAAGAATATAAATATATGTTGTTGTTGTTTACCACCAAGTAGGAACTGACTCATTTTTCTCCTGCAAAGTGGCTGATAGATTTGAACCCTGTGCCTTTGGGTTGGCAGCGCAACTCCTTACTACTAAGCCACCATGGCTCCCTAGCAAAAATATGTTATTGCTGTTATGTATCCATGAGTTGGAACCAACTCATAGCTGACCCTCAAGTGGGTTTTCAGAGACTATAGAATCACATGGGAGGAGATTGTCCATCTTTCTCCTACAGAGCAGCTGGTGGATTCAAATCACATGCCTTCAGGTTGGCAGTACACCTCCTCACCACTAAGCTGCCAGAGCTCCCTCGTAAAGATATTGTTGTTGTGTACTATAGAGTCAGAACCAACCCATAGCTGACCCACCGATGGGTTTTCAGAGGCAGTTAATCACACAGGATGAGATTGCTCATCCTTCTGCAGAGTGGTTGATGACCTAAACCACTTGCCTTCGGGATTGCAGCATAGCTTCTTGCCACTAGGCCACCAATAGAAACTTTGATTCTCATTGGTTGAAATCTGGAATTATCCCACTTTCTATCTCTTTCGATTTGCTGAGACAAATTTCATTCATTCATCATCCATTCAACAAATCTATTCTGAGCACCTGGAATGCCAGCCCTGTGCTGGGTACTGATGGGGGAGGTATACTTGACAACCTGGGCAGGGAGAGGGCCTGTGGGTGGCTACAGGAGCCAAGAGTGAGCATCACAGCACACCTGGCTGATAAGCCTGCTTGACCTCGTGCCTGCCTTTCCCCTACCCCCAACCCAGGAGCTGTCAAATCTGAAGCTGACTCTTGAGCCATCGGAGGAAAATGGCATTGTCCAGCCCCAAGAGGTGCTCGTGGTCCTCTACGTGAACAAGAAAGTCTATCTGCAGCTGGAGACCCCGAAAATCCCCCTTCGCCTGGCCTATGTGAGTGTGCTATCTCCCACCTCAGGCTGAGTGGGCTGGCTGTGAGAGACCCCCCGCAGTCCATTTCTGTAGGTCAGGGGCTTCATTGCAGGTCTCTATGTCTTCTTATCACTCAGATATTATTTACCAGGGCCCAGCAGTAAGAAACAAAAGGGCAGCTGGTCTAGGAGCTGGGAATCTGGTCAATATGCAGTTCTGGCCAACTCTCATCCATTCTCATAGCCTCAGTTTGTCCTATTGTCCAGTAGGTGAAGTGGACTCAATAACATCCCAGAAAATGCCCTGTTGCTATCTTGGAAAAAGGCTACAAAGGATATGCATTATTGGAAATTAAGTACAATGGAAAAGGCCTGGGAGCAAACCTAGCTAGGTGCTACTGATATGCTCAGTTTAGAAGTAGGATTAGGAAAGTTATTTATTTTGTACTGTTTTTTAAAAATCACCACAAGATTTTAAAGTATTGGTCATCTCCACCAGCAAGGAGGTCAGTGGCTGGGCCCAGAGAGGCCCAGTGCTGAAGGAGGCAAGCAGGCTGTCCTGCTGTCCTGCTTCCAGATAGGAAGTCCCAGAAGATGACTCATGTCCAAGTCCCCCAGGTGGCCCCAGATGTGAGCAGCTGTTGTTTACAGCAGAGAAAGCAGAGGGAACAGAAAGGAAGGGCAGGAGAGCAAGCAATAACAAGGGGGCGAGACACAGAAAGACGGAAAAAGTGAAAGCCAGGGACTGAGGTATGCAGTGTACAGCTCAGAGAGACCCATAGTGACTGAGGATGGGGCTGGGTAGGCAGGAGACAGCAGAGCTACAGAAAAAAGAATGCAGGAAGAATCCAGCCTGCCAGCAGAGGCGATACAAAGATGCCCAAACAAGACATCTGCATAAAGCCCCTGGAACGGTGGGCACGGGTCAAAGCTAAACTTGAGGCAGAAGGTCCCAAGCGACTCAGGGCTAGGTACTCAGGAGGGGAAACTGAGGCTTCAGGGTGGATGAAGCTTTAGCATGGCTTCTGCTCTCCCTGGATTTTTTCCTCCTCCTTCTTCCCCTTCTCTGGAGTTCAGGCTGGGGATCTGAATCCTGTGGGGTCTGAGATGACGCAGGAAACATGAAACTCCCGCTGGGGGGGGAAGGTCGTGGCCGGAAGGTCACAGCAGTGTCTGGCAGCTCCCTCAGCTGCGCCTTCCTCCCAGAAGGGGCCAGGGAAGAGGGGGGTAGGAAACACGAGATTGGGAGGGGCAAGGGATGGGGGACACCTCAGGACCAAGCTTCCTGAGCAGGCTCACCTGGGCAGGGCCCTCTTGCAGCCACAATCTAACTTGGGACACAGGATCAGGCTGTTGACACAGGTCATGCCCACCACCCCACAACAGCCCACTCAGTTTCCCATCCTGAGGGCTGTTTCTCCTCATCCACCAGAGAAGTGCTCATCACTTTGCATTCTTGTTAAATTCCTACAGAGAAAGTAGGTGTTCCATTTTAGGTGGACCATTCTATGGTGTTCTGTACACCATCACTATCTGACAGGCCTTAGTACCTAGACTGGAGCCTTATTGCTATTGTTAGTCCAGCTCAATGTCCCTGGTTTTGGGGACAGAACACAAAGGAACTAGACCCTGAGCTGTAGCCCCAACAGCTTCATCTGAGTCCTTCAGCTTTTCCCAATCACCTCCTCCAGGAAGCCTTCTAGGATTTCACCAGTGAGGGGAGCAGTGGGATGCTGGAGCTTTCCAGATCCCTCATCCTTGTCCATCAAGGGGGACCCTTCATTTCTTTTTTTAAATTTTCTTTTTATGTGTGTGTTTGTGTGTGTGTACTATCAAATTGGATCTGACTGGTACAGGAGGAGATTGTCCTTCCTCCAGCAGAGCATCCGGTGGATTCGAACCGCTCACCTCTGGGATTGCAGTGAAGCCTCTTATCACTAGGCCACCAGAGCTCACCACCCTTCATTTCTTAATAAGTAATACCCTGTGTCTTTCCTTGTTTTTAAATCATTTGATGCATCCATCCATTTCCTCTTTCCTTTCCTTCCTTCCTCCCTTCCTTCCCATGTGCACAGAGTGTCCACCAGGAGCCAAGAGTGTGTGTGATACTGATATGTCAGAATCCCACATATTGGACCCAGCCAGCACATAATCAGACAAGTATTTTTGTGTCTTTTACATACCAAGCACTGTGCAGTAATGCTTGTCCATCACAGGTCTTTGGAATGTAGAGGGACAAACCTTACCCATGAGATGGCATTAAATGTGGACTGAATGAATAGAGGTTGTGGACAGATGGATGTATGTGTATCTGCACTCCTAGGAAGGTCTGGAAGGAATAATCTTGCCCTGGGAGGATAAAGGATGGGCTGGGGCTCTCAGCTGATTGAAGTCTGTCTGCCTCAACCTCCTCAACCTTGACTTTCTCATCCATCCTCATCCTTCAACTTCTTATCCATTCTGGCTGTCTCCTCAAGTCGTGTCCTGACCTCCCACTGGGACAGGGGACAGAAAAGACTCAGGTCCAGGAACAGCATCTGAGCTTTTCCATATGTCTCCTCAGAATCTCAATCTGGTCACCCTCCCAGAATCCCTGGAAGTCAACACTATACAGCTGCCACCGTTCACTGTCAAGAGTCAGATCCTCGACTGGGCAGCTACAAAGGGCCCCATCTCCTCCAGCGCCAAGCTGAATAACCCCCTCAGCATCCTCCTCCGTCTGAGCCAAGGTCAGCTTCCTCGCAGCCTCTCCGGGCTCAGAAGGAATCGAATCTCCTGCTTGTTCCTCAGACTCATTAAGGATCCATGAGGGGACATGGTTTGCCCCAGGTCCCACAGTAATCCAGTGCTCTGTTGGAACAGTAATTACTCCTTTACCACATATTACATTGAACCATATGAAGCTACTATTTGACAATCCTTTGCCCTACACTGGTGTTATTTATTGAGCACCTAATGTATGCCAGGGTCAAGTCCCTTGGAAAGGAGTCTGAACCCAGGTCTTTGGATATCTGCTCCTACCCCCTTACGGCTTCATCATGACACGCCATCTTTGAGGGCAGGTGGGCTGGGCTTTCTGTTACACGCAAAGCTGCTCTGGGAGGAGACTGAGGTTGCTTCTCTCCACAGCTTCGAAGGCACTGTCCTGCCTGCCTGAGGAACGCGTAGACATGGGTCGCACGCTTGAGTGGCAGCCTCAGACCCGAGCCTTGGTCCAGGGCTGCCGCTTGCCAGGCATATCTGGCCACAAGGAAGCACACATCTTGAGGATCCTGCCAGGCCCCATAGTCAGGTAAAGGTGCTAGTCACCTAGCACCAGTTCTCACCTCCTCTAAGCACCTGCCCCTTCCCCCTTCCCCTTTTCCCTCCCCCACCCGTCCCCATTTCCCCCTCCCTCGTTAAGCCACGCCCTCCGTTTGACATAGACCCCGCCCCTTGTTAAACCGCACCCTGTCTATCAGAGACCAACCCCACTGGTTGTTAAACCACGCCCAAAATCTAGTCCTGCCCTCCCGCTGTTTAACACTCCTAACCACCACCCTACCCCTTGCTAAACCACGCCCCCAACCGGTCAGGGACAACGCCCATTGTAAAACCACGCCCCGGATGACATCATCGCATAATTTTTAAAACCACGCCCCCTAACCTCGACTTGACCCTGTGCCCAGACTGCGACACCCCCCCCTTAGGTCTCCAAGCCCCAAACCTTATAGGCCTTACCCCCATTGGCTGTAATTCCGCCCGAGCCCCACCCAGGCCCACCCACATTCGCAGATAGGCGGTGCCCTATCAAATACATCCCTGGCCTGCCCACCCCCTGTCCCTCGCTGCCTCATCTGCACTGACACAGCTGTCTGCCTAACCGCAGGCCCCAGACAGTGACAGTGAAGGTGGAACTGAGCTGCACGTTGGGAGACCCAGATGCCATCCTCATCCTGCAGGGCCCACCCGAAGTGTCCTGGCTAGTCGATGCCACTCACAACATGCAGATCTTGGTGAGTTTTGTCCCAGACAGCTCGCCCAGACTTCATTAAGCTTTCTGAGGAGAAAGTCCCCTACCTCCGAAGGGTCTTGCCTGTGAGCCCATTACCATGGCTGGCTTCCTGCGTTGGCAAGCCCCTTAATCTTTCCACATGGTGATCCCTCTGTCCTGGACGTCTTCCTCTACTCACACCTACTTCTCCAGACCTTTGCCTAGACATCACCTTCCCCAGACATCACCTTCACCTGTTTCCAAAGATCAGGAAGGGTTCCTTTAAAGAAAGTGAGTCCCTGGGCTGAGCTGAAGGACAAACAAGAACCAGTAGGTGAGAGAAAGAGTGGCCCAGGCAGAGAATATAGCAGGAGTGGAGAAGAGAGCAGAGCTGAACCCTGGTGTAACCGTGGCCATTGCCTGACTACCTACCCCTCTCCTTGTCCTGCCATTAGACCACCGGTGTTTACTCCTTCAAGATCTTTCCTAATAAGAACATTCCTGGCTTCGTGCTGCCAGACACACCCCAAGGCCTTCTGGGAGAGGCCCTGAAGCTCAACGCCAGCGTCGTGGCATCGTTCGTGGAGCTCCCCTTGGTCAGCACCATCTCACTGCGGGCCCCCAGCTGTGGTGAGCGCCCAGCTCCTCCTTGCCTTGCTGTCTCCTGGGCGCGGTGAGCACTGCGGTGACTATTTACCTGGTCTACCTCTGCTTTCCCACATAGGTGGGCTGCAGACCACTCCCACACCGACACCAGTCCAGGCCACCATTCCCAAGGTCGGCTGCAATGGACGTCTGCTCAGGAGCCTGCTGAATCCCAAATGCTCCAATGACAGCATGACTGTGGTACTCAAGAAGGAGCTCACCTTGGTAAGCCAAACCCCTCCCTCCACCTAAAGAGAGGCGGGCTGACCCTAGTAGCTGGCATGGAAGGCGGGTGTAAGAATCTTAAGGTCCCAGCCCCAACACAGGACAAATAAATCTGTAAGTTTTCAGTTTTCCTACTTAGAAAATGGAGTTGACAATAGTACCTACTTACTGTGTGGAGTTTGTTGTATGCCATTGAGTCAGAACCGACCCGTCGCTGGCCCCTCAGCGGGTTTTCAGAGGCAATAAATAATACGGAAGGATATTGCCCATCCTTCCCCCTACAGAACATCTGGTGGATTGGAACCGTGTGCCTTTGGGATTGAAGCACAGCTTCATGCCACCAAGCGACGGGAGCTCTAGTGGCCTTAACTTAGAGTAGGGTTAAGCAAAGTCCACACAGTCAGGTATGAAGAACAGTAAGTGCTCAGTAAAGAATTCTAGTGTTCGAAATTAAGGTTATTGTTAGTCCTTAATTCTAAAGTGAGTTGTCAATTTAACAGAACACAGGTTTCCCTTGCAGTGTTCTGTTAAGCAGAGCATTCCTGTGAAACCTTTCATTTGGCATTCCCATCCAGTCTGAAATGATGTGTGATAGGAAGAGGAAATTACCATGCATTTATATGGGAAAAATTTTGGATGTTCCTAAGCCCGAAAGGAATTTACAAAATCATGATAAATTACAGACAAAACATAAAATGACACTAATGTAGAGTTTTCACGGATACAGTTGAGCGCTATGGTGTAGATACTGAGACACTGAGTGTAGTTTCAGGGCAAGAATTCAGGCAAAGCTGCTTGGAGTGTGTGCTGTTTGTATGCTATAAAATAAGCACGGAACACTAATTCTGTTTTTTTTATTTTTTATATATATAAAAGCAAAAACTCTCTTGTGGTTTCTTTCAATTAGTGAAAACAGGTACTAATGTAGGTCTTTCACAAAAGCAAAGTGGCATAAAACAAACTTTTGAAAAGTGGGCAATTTCTTTTCTATGATCTTTTCTTAACTGAAGATTGTTGTGTTGTTGTGTATCATCTAGTCGGAACCGAGCCATAGCTAACCCTCTGGCAAGTTTTCTGAGGCGGTTAATAGCACAGGAGATTACCCATCCTTCTTGAAGACTTATTCCTGAAGACTATATTTAAATAATAAATAAATTTAAATTAATAAAATAGACCTCTGGGTGGCGCAAAAGGTGCCCTGGTGTCACAGTGGTTAAAGTATTCAGTGGCTAACCAAAAAAAATCTGTGGTTTGAAGCCACAAATTGCTCCTTAGTAGAAAGATGTGCCAGCGTGCCTCTGTAAAGATTAAAAATTTTTGCCTTAGAAATCCTATGAGGCAGTTCTGCTGTCTTACAAGGTTTCTGTGAGTTAGAATCAACTCAACAGCAATGAATTTTGGGTTGGATAGTACAGTCTCTTCTTGACTGGTAACTGAAAGTTTGGCAGTTCAAACCCACATGGTTGCACCACAGAAGAAAAGGTATGAGGATCTGCTTCAGCAGATTACAGTTAAAAAAAAACTATGGAGCAGGTCAACTCTGAAACTTGTGGAGTTTCCGTGATGCCACAGGACAGCTGCAGCAATAAACATTTAAATGCATAATTACCTTTATAAGGTAAACACAAAGCTGGATCCTATGAGGCAAAGGTTAAAGATGGTGCCGACACCCACTCCATCATCTCCAACACCAACTACTCCCTGTCCCCACAGGATTCTCCCTCCTGTCTTTGGGTTCCGTAGCTGCAAAATCTCACAGAACTAGACTTAGAGTGTGGTTTCCCAGGGAGGTAATAGGGTATAAACTTGGAATCAGGAATGATTTAAAAGCAGCAGGAGCATCTCAGGATACAGGTTTTGCTCAGGGAAACTTCTTGCCTTTTGCTGCTGGTCCTTGCGTGAGCCCTTCTTAGGCAAGTGTTACAGCTCTTAGCTTTGTGGGTCAGTAACTATCTTGTGCCAGCCAGCCTCTTGGTTACCCTGCTGTCATTCTTGTTATTTCTGTGCCATCACCTCTCATTGTCTCCCATATTAGAACTCTCTGTCTGCTGAGTCAAGAAAGTTCTCAGTGCAGGGACCCTGCTGGTGGGTCAACTCTAAGATAGTTCTGACTCAACAGCAATTAGTTATTTGCATGTCTTTCTTGTTAAGTGCCATCAAGTTGACTATGACTCATAGTGACCCATGAACAACAGATCTGAACCTTACCCTGTCCTGTGCCATCCTCATCATCTCTGACATACTTGAGCCCATTTTACAATCACTGTGTCAATCCATTTCATTGACGGTCTTCTTCTCTTTCACTGATCCTCCACCTTTCCAAGTAAGATCTTTCACAAGGACTAGCCCCTCCTAATAACATGCCCAAAGTATGTGAGATGAAGCTTCATCATCCTTGCCTGCTAGGAGCTCCCTGACTGCACCTTCTCCAGGACATATTTGTTTGTTCTCTTGGCGGTGCATATGCTATTAAGTACTCTTCTCCAATGCCACAACTCTAAGGCATCAAATATTTTCTCTCACGCGTAGTCATTGTCCAACTTTCAGATGCATAACAAGTAAGAAAAGACCAATGGCTTGACTCAGATGCACCTTAGTCTTTCAGCTGACTTCATTGCTCCTTAACTCCTTAGAGAGGTCCTTCACAACAGATTTAACCATATGTAGTTCCACTCAATCATTTGGTGACAGTTATAAAGCAATTATTTTGGTGGGAGTTACAGACTATAAAGGCCAAATAAAAGAGATCCATTGCACTATAAAATAGCATATGCTTTGGAAAAATGTGTTGGAATTGGAGAAGAAAATCTTAATCTGCTCACTTTAAGACAATGGCTATAAATATTTTAGCATCCTTACTTTTGTAATGCCTTCTCTTTGTACTTCTTGAGTATACCATGGACTGCTAGGAGAACAAATAGGTTCATTTTGGGGAGTGTGAAACCAGGCTGCTCCTTGGAAACAAGGATTCTGAGGCTTCGTCTAACATACTTTGGGCGTGTTGCAAGGAATGACCAGTCCTTGGAGAGAGACATCATGCTTGGGAGGGTGGAAGGACAGAGCAAGAGAGGAAGACTCTCGATGAGATGTATTGAGGGTAATGAGGGTAGGCGTGTCAGAGACAGTAAGGTTGGCACAGGATAGAGCAGGGTTCAAAGCTGTTGTACATAGGGTCGCTATGAGTCGCTGGACACATAACAACATCAGAACCCCATATAATCATAATTGCTTTTCTTGCTATATTCACTTAATGTATTTTTAGACTTGCCATGTGTATTTAATGTCCTGTTTAACAAGCACATGTTATTCATCATATTAACTTGCCGTAATTATTCCTCCTCACTTGTTAGACGTTTTGGTTGTTGCCAATTTTGTAATATTCTAAATATGCAGAAAATGTCCCTGTGCATAAAACCTTTCTTTACTTAGGATTATCTTCTTAGCATCAATCTCCACATTAGGGAGATTCCTGTGTGAAAACTGAAGAACATTCTGGAACTTTTGATTTTTGTCAGTCTGCTTTTCCAAATATGATTTAAATTTTCCCTGCTAATTTATGAGTTCTTCTGGACCACTTCTTTCTCTCTCCAGACTGTTTAGAAGCCAACCAACCAAGCCTTGCCAATGTGGAAGGTGGAGTATGGTGTTTACGTCTTGATTTAATTTATAGTTCTTTGATTAGTAGTAAGTGGATCTATGAGTAATAATAACTTACGTCTCTTTATCATAGAGGCACCTGTATGCTGCCTCTTTCCCCCTTATTGCCTGCCTCTACCTGGTCCAGTAGAGATGTCCAGATGGAGGGGGAGGTCCTGGTGTTGCTTCTGCCTAGACTCAGGTCTCCTTGCTTCTGAATTTTATTGCCTTTCCAGAGCTCCTGACTAAATGACCAATTGCTTAAAAATATCTTTCTAACTGGAAAGAAGATATATTCTTTTAAACATGTTAACAAGACAGTCTTCGGAGTGTTCAGATGTAGGCAAGAGGAGTGTTCAGATGTAGGCAAGAGAGAAAGCTGGCACCTTGGCCTGAGTGGTGGACATTCAGGTCCTTGTACAGCTCACTGGAAGGCAATCTGATAGTAGCCATTATAGTTTCTCAGAATTTACTGTGAAAATGTTGCTTTATGACCCAGTAATCCCATCATCCTACTGCTTATTGCAAAAGGATGGTTCCTATCATGCCATTTGTAATAGAAAAATTAGAAACCTAATGAAATGTTCATACAGAGGGGCTTCAATGAATAAATTGTAAACTGTTAATCTTTGGAATTCTCTATATGCAGTTGGGGAAAAAACCCCAAACAAACAAGGGTAGTAAATGTGGAACTTGAATTAATGCTGGACAATCTTCTGTGCAATTAACTGCCTCTGAAAACCCACCGGAGGGTCAGCTATGAGTAGGTTCTGATTACAGTACACAACAACAATTTTAATATATATATGTGTATGTGTGTGTGTACACACATACGTTGTTGTTATGTGCCATCGAGTCTCCTGAGACTCATAGTGACCCTATGTACAACAGCCCTAAACTCTGTTCTATCTTTTGCCAATCTTATTGTCTCTGACACGCCTATCCCCATTACCCAAGTCACTGAATCAACCCACTTCATCAAGGGCCTTCCTCTCCTGCTCTGTCCCTCCACCTTCCCAAGCATAACGTCCCTCTCCAAGGACTGATCTCGCCTTGCATCATGTCCAAAGCATGTCAGACAAAGCTTCAGAACCCTTACCTCCAAGGAGCAGCCTGGCTTCACCCTCTCTAGGATGAACTTGTTTGTTCTCCTAGCAATTTATGATATATTCAATACTCTTCTCCA